GAAAAGTTTCAAATCGAAATAGAAAAATCAGTTTTACTGATGACAATTACAGCATTCGTTTCAAAACTGCCATAAATTTGCAGTATCTACGAAATAATAAGCTAAGGGCTAGAACTCTTTTCAGGATATACAAAATTCATATGATTCTACGTGATGCAAATAGTGTCGCCCTGAAAGCGATTTATCGATTGAGGAACTTTCCTCATCAGACATGAAGTTAGCCGGAATTTTAACTAACTCGTAATAATTCGAATAAATTGTAAAATTTAACATAGTACTTTCCATGAATACAAAAGCAGAACAGTTTTACGATCTACAGAACAAAAAGAAAACTGCCCATAACAAATGCGAAGCTATTTAAGTTCGCTATGAATCCTTGATGATTTAATGTGAAACCGTAAAACATGTTGCATCGAACACTCAAACATTTGTATTTTCAATGCTATAATGTTTTTCATCGTACGAAACTCAAAAAAGATTTCTTAGTCAAGTTTTCAGCAGTATGTCCATTGAAATAACTATTTTAGATTTTGCAGCTCGTGATGAACTTGAAAAAATTCAATGGTCAAAGATACTATATAGACTTTTGTGCTTCTAATATGTTTGCACTCAAGTTGAAATATTTAGTAGGGGATTATGATAAATGGAGTTTGGTGAAAAAGGAAAAAAAAATAAATATTAGTAATATTATGCAAGTGAGGCGAATAGGAATGTCGAATTAGGGTTGTAGAGCAGCTAGACTAGTACCAGCTCCATTTTTATTGTAGTTTACCATCGAAATAAATTACTGGAAGAAATGAGTCTATCCTTCAGTTTCTGGTTTATTATCATTTTGATCACACATAGAACTCAATTATCATATGATTAACTGATCACAATAAATCATATAGATGATCTATGATGAGAACCATCCAAATATACCTTACCAATTCTCAAATTCTTATATTCTCTTTTTCTCACTTTTTTATTAAGATTTCTATAGAAAAATCTCAATGCCTATAATAATCATCAAAATTGTATGAAAATATGAATGGTATCGACTTATTCAAGATATAAGCATGTAGAACCAAATAAAATGTATTCATTATTAAAATTTTAATCACTATAGATAAATAATAACATAACAATTGGAACTTCTTAATAAATATTTTCCAGTAAATTATTCTGAAGGCAAGATAAGGGCAATCTTTTAGCTCTAGCAAATAGAGGAAAGAATTTTTATGTTATTTTAATCAAATACAAGTCTTAGTTAGAAATATTTCCCAATAGAATTCATTGAATTATTTTAAATGTTTTTAAATTTCTATTTAGTATAAAGAATCACTTGATTTAAAAAATAAATTAACCAAAGAAATCAATGCCATATCAGAACAAAGTGATGATTTAATTGAAAAAATTCGTGATGAACTTCGTCATAAAAAAGATGAAGAAAAACGTCGAATTGAATCATGTAAAGATGTTCAACAACAAATAAGTGCTCTTGAAGAACAATTTAATTCAATGGATATTAATTCTCAAGATCAAGATGATTTACAAGTTAGAATAAAAAATAAAAATAACAGATGTCTTAGAAAAAATTTGCCTCTCTATATTTTAATGATATCTCCGTTAATATTCCTATGTTCAGTCTTATTTTTTGTGAAACATGATCTAAAAGGAACGTTGAATTATATAGGATGTGCACTTCAGATTTACTTCCTCTTTTCTCACAGATCGTGACAGATGATGCTCAGAGACCATCACAGACGTTCTAGCAACATCCCTCGTTTCCGTTACAGACTGTGCATCATTTCAGTATATGAACTACTTCCTTATTACATTTCTGAACGATTAAATAAAAAGATCGTGAAGATGTGTGCCTGAAAATAGATAGAAAAAAAGCAGTTTCCTTGTGATTAGCAAAAACGGCTGTATCATTTTTTGCCTTTTAATCCCACAGGAATTGAGCTAACAGCTTTCTTTAAAAGTTCCGTCTTTTAATTCTCTACAAAGTAGTATCCTTTTTGTTAATGTAAATAACATCGATTATTTTTCGAAACACATTTCGAACGAAAAGTCCAACATGAAGAAAGTTGAAAAACAACATGTTGTCGAACTTGTTTGACTGCACATATTATTTCTTCGAAATAAGTATTTCTTGCGATGTTACGTTTTTTCAATTTGATGGACTCAGGAGATTTATTCTAAATAAAACAATTCAATGGGTTTAAATCTGAACTATTCGGTGGCCAATGAACCTTTGTCTATGAAATGTCGGACAGTTGTCCTAGTACTATTGTTGAGTGAAATGATGAATGTGAATTTTTGTAGCGTCCTGTTGAAATGTTTAGCTTTCACTGAAGGCCTTGTTTCCATATTTTAGTGCTACTGAAAGGATATTTCAGACGTATTGAGCATGATCAACTGTTCCGTGATTGGAAATGACCAGCGGGTCACTTCCTTTCGAACAGGCATCTAACCACATCATGACCTTTTGAGGAAATTTTCGTTCCTTTTATAACGCACCTCTTTCATCTTCTTTAGGACGATTGACCGGTCAGATTCGCTCGTTTTGAGAATTGTATATACAGCCAACGTCGGATGCATCCTGTCCTCTTTTCGCATAGTCTAACCAATGCAGGTTGCAGATTTATTTTTTTCGTTTGTAGTTTTGTTCTTCTCTGAGTAGTGGTTCAATTATCTTTTAGTATTCTATGAGTGCTTGATTTGGATATGCCGTATTCTTTAGACGAGCTTCGAACTGACACCTTTCGTTCTTGCTCTAGTCAATGTTTGACCTCTTAGATCATTTCAGAGATTCGAGAAATACGTGATGAACTCGATGGAGTTGACAGCTGGATAGAACCAGTTTCATGAATCATCTTACATTATCTTTTCGTAGTAGTAAATTGCAAAGAACCAGTTAAAATGCGAAAGATCTTGATCGAACCATCATTATCTTCGTACTTACAAAAAGCTACTTTTCGAAGATCTTTGTTTTTCATTTTATAACAAACACAAGTTGCATTTAAATAGAATACAATATATAAATGCTTGTAAAGAAGAAAAAGGCGAACCTGCTGAAAAAAAAAACTTAGGTTTGAAAACAATAAGAGTTAATAGAAATGCCAGTAAAATACTGAGAGACTCAATTCTTTCTGAGACATTCGTTATATAATAAAATTTGATTAATTCAATATGAATTTAAATTTCTAGGCTGAATGGAATAAATTAGAAGAAGAACGAAAAAAAATTAGTGAACAACAAGCACAAATGTCTAATAAACATCAACAAGTAATTGATGAAATGCGTCGAATTCAACAAGATATACAAAGTATTCTTAAGAAAACAAAAATATCTTTGAAAACTAAATCATTGTTTTTTTGGTTTTTAGTTAAACAACGTGAACTTGATCATATAAATAATGTTCAAGAAACTCGTTTAGCTAAATTACAACATCAAAATCTTGATGCATGGAAAGCTGTTAAATGGCTTCGTCAAAATAAAATGCTTTTTCAAAAAACAATCTATGAACCAATGATTCTTTCATTGAATGTAAATGATCCAAACATGATGAAATATGTTGAATTTATCATTCCAAAACGTGATCTTTTAGCAATGTTTATTTTTGAAGTAAAAACTAAAATTAAATTAAATTAAAAATAAAATAAAACATTTTTTTCTTTCCAAAAGGATACAGATGATATGGAATTATTTATAAAAGAATGTCATGAAAAGCAAAAATTAGTTGTACATGGTTCAGCTATTCCAAGTATGTCGTTAGAAGAATTTCGTCGTGAATCAATGCCAATAAGGGATTTAAAAAAATATGGCATGTTTCAATATGTACTCGATACAATACAAGGACCGGATTCAATTTTACGTTATTTATGTCAAACTATTAAAATACATACATTACCTATAGCTAATGAGGCAGCAATGGTACATATTGATGATATTACAAAGGATGGAAGAATTCGAAGATTTTTCGTAAAAAATTTTTTTGTATGTTTATATTTAATTTAGTTTGATTTAAATTAAAGACTTATATTTTGTTTTTTAGTACACATTATCGATTTCATATTATACAAATGAACCATCAACAACTAATGTTCATGTACAAAAAGAAAAATATTTAACGGATAGTGTTAGTCATGATCGTAAACAGAAAATTGAACAAGAACATGCGGTATGAAAGGGTTTTTGAATGAATATATTTTACTAAAGAGAAAAAATTCTCAAATATGAATTTTTACTTTTGATTGATTATATGGCAATTTATAAATTTCGATGAATTCATTTCCATAGAATATTCTTAAAAAAAAAGCAATTGTCTCAATTTTGAGAAAATTCATTGTAAGTCATTGATCAAGAATGTTTAATATCTGTTCTATTACGATTACTGTGTTCATAGCTGTACTGTTAACCAGTACTTATTTAATTAACGAGGAAAGTCTCTCAATGAATTAATCGTTTTTAAGTCGAGACTATGTTCATTATGTAGACCCTAATAAGCTATGAATATCTAGAAAAGATTACGGGCTCGTAAGCTTATTACTGTGACGATAGTTGATTTGTACGATATTTGTTAAGTCAATGTCGTGGTCCTCCTGAAGAATACCAGAAAACCTAATTTTCGAATTTTGACTTACAGCTTTGCGCAGAGACACGTCTTAGATCTTTTGATTTGCTTCTATACTGCAATAAGAATATTAAATTTATCGGTGTATATGATCAATGTCAACGATACACTTTTATCATACTTGTACCTCAGAATAAGAATAATGAAAATGTTTGAAGCTTTCACAATCAACTTTCTTCACCAAAGCCTATTGCTGTGCAAAGTTTCAAATGGAAATTCGAAAATCAGTTTTTCTTGTGTTCCTGAAGGAACCGTGACAGTCACTTAAAAAAACTACCATCAAAATGCAATATCTCGACAGCAGTAAACATAGGATCTGAACTCTTTTCAGAATATTCATAGCTCATTAGTATCTACATGGTATACATTATCTTGACTCAAAAGCGATTAATCAGCTTGAACACTTTCCTCGTGAAATTGCATGGCCAAGTATGCTGTTTTCGTCTAGTTCAATGTCAGATAGTTGTTTAGACTTTATACAATTCATCCATAGAACAAGACCTTCCGAAATATCATTGATCAGTTTTCAAGATAGTCGAGCACCAAATGTGAGATACTAAAATTTTGAACGATAGCAACCGAATTAGCATACAAATGCAATTCTATAAATCAACGTCTTCCAATGTATTTTCTCCAGGCTTCTTCTTTTTTTGTCGACAATCTATGTAGATGAACATTCTATGTTTTTGACATCAACCAGCTCTCATATACTCAATCAGAAGCGAAAATTTACACATTAAAAGTTTTCTTCGTTACTTTATTACGTTTTCTTTTAAGCAAATGAAAGAACGTTATACTGAATTACAAAAATCTCAACAAACATTTGAAAAAGATCAAACTAGTCTTTCTCGTCAACTTGATGATGTTAAAGCACGAAAGGTAAAATATTTATTACAAAAAAGAATAATTACTAATTTGACTTGTTTATTTTTTGTTCCAAAGATTGCAATCAATGATAAACGTAATATGAAAGCTAAACTTGAACGTAAAATTGAAGAAAAAAAACATACGTATGTTTATTTAAATGATAATTTTAATTATTATACTTAATAATTTAGATTAACTATGTACCAAAGGAAACAAATTGATATTGAAAAAGAAGAAAAATTAGCACATGAAAAAGAAATGAAAATTCATGAAGATAAAATGCATAAATTAAGTGTACAAGTTAAAGAACTTGAGGTTATTCACACTGATAAATAGAGAAAAAAAAACAAATAATTATACAAATAACATTATTTGCTTATCGATTTAGAATTTTAATCAAAAATGTAGTACTATGCTGATCGATAGTGGTCGTGTCGCTCTTGCTCGACAACAACATCTTAAAGCTGATGGAAAACTTGAGACATATAATGAAGAGTTAACTCAACTCAAAGTATGTATTCTTTTGCTTTTTTTTAATCAGATGTTCGTCACATTACATTAGATGATAATTGGACAAATTCTCACAATATTGTCATTTAAGATTCTGAGTGACTATTGGCTTCTTTATGCAAATACTAAGGAGAAATCTAGAAAAACAAGTTTTCTAAAAAAAATGAAAAAGGTTTTTGATACAAAACATGTCACGAAGTACGCTCAAAGATTTCATTCCGTGACTCTCTTGATATCCTACGAGGGAGCTTTTAAGCTATCGAATTTTGATCTGGAAAATTTATACATACGGAGAACTTAATTAGACTAGCTTTCATAAAAAATTCAGGGCTTTGAATAAAAGTCTCTTCGAGATATGAGACTTCTGAGATTTAGATCGTTTTCCATGGATAGTGTATACATTCTTCGAAAGCTTCATATCTTGAAAAGATTTTGTTCAAAACTTTTGGATATTTTTATGGGAGGTAATCTAGTTGAGTTCTCTATATGCGCAAAGTTTCAAATGAAAATTCGAAAATACGTATGAGTTCTCCGGAAACATGAGACCTCTAGAAAACATACATACTACAAATTTTATAGATTAGTTAAATCTCATAGGAATCCAAATCTTCTTAGGATTTTCAGTAGAATACTATGTATTATCTATACAAAAAAAAAACTATTGAGACCAAAATAGGACATCTGAGGAAGTTCTCCCGGTAATAAATTGAGAAATCTTTGCTTTTTTCAAAGACATACTCATCATATTTTTTTGTACTATGATTGATCTCGTTTGACTTGAATATAATTAGAAAATAGCTATTCTTGCTAAAGGTTTTAAGGAAAAACTATTTTTCATTTTGAACATCTACGTATGAGTAAAAATTTGATTTCTATTAAATAATTCTTACTGTGAGAAAAAAATTAATAAAGAAAATGACTTGAAAGGAACGAATTAACTGTGTCTTGCTTTTCTTTGAACGAAAATCAGTCTATTTACTGATTTTGATTGTAAAGCATTCAAGTTCTTTACACAGATGATCGTAAATAGTCGGATAAACATTTATCTGATCGCTATTTATCGTGTTCATCATTGTAAAATAGTTTGTATGTTAAAGTCGTATTATTCGCTTCATTACATTCGAAAACTGTATTATCATCATCATTCTGGATGCTTAGTATATCCAAAGAACTTTGATTGATTTTTTGAAGTTATATTTTTGACTTTAATTTTTATTTAGGAACAAACGATAAACTCAAAAAAACGTTTAGAAACAAGTGAAACATTAATACGTGTTGCTGCACAACAAGTTGTTAAATCATTAGATAAAAAAATTCCATCTGATACAATTCTTCTTCCAAATAAACTTCTTAAAGAATTACAAACAAGATTTTCTGATTTTCCTAAGAGTTTAGCTGATTTAGAATCTGAAATAATGAATTTTAATGCTCAACTTAGTTGTCAAGGAACTATTAAAGATGATGTAAGAAAAACAAAAATAAATTTACTTTAATATTTTTAATGAAATTTTTTCTTCTTTTTTTCTTTAAATAAGGTTATGCGTTTATATCAACAAGAAAAAACAAATTTAGTTCAAATTGAAAATCGTATACATGATCTTGAAAATAAAATTAAAGAAGGACAAATAACAGCTGATACTAGTAAAACAAATTGGTTAAATCAAGTTAATAAAATGATTAATGATATTAATGAAAAATTTGTTGATTTATTTAATACAATGGGTTGTAAAGGTGAAATTTGTTTAGATATACCTGAATCACCAGTAAGGGAAAACTTCTTTTTTTTTAAATTGTATTTTATTGTTTTCAATTTTAGAAAGATTTTGAAAAATATGGTGTCAATATTAAAGTACAATTTCGTGATGGAGAAAAATTACATGAAATGGTAAAATAGTATCGATAAAATTAAAATAAATTTTATTTTATATTATTTTTCAGAGTGAATTTTTACAAAGTGGAGGTGAAAAAAGTGTATCAGTTATGTTATATATGATTGCATTGCAAAATATGACTATTTGTCCATTTCGATGTGTTGATGAAATAAATCAAGTAACATGTTAATTTTTTGTAATTATTATTTTCTTTAATGTTTATTTTTTAAGGGTATGGATCCAATTAATGAACGACGTGTTTTTGAATTACTTGTTAAACATTCATCTGATAAAGCTAATTCACAGTATTTTTTACTTTCACCTAAAGTAAGAAAATAAAATAAAAAAGAATTTCCTTACGAAGAAATCACCCAAAGTGATACTTGCCGTTTAAGTTTATATTAGACCTATAATGATATCCTGATGAGATTAGCAAAAATCTAATAGGACTTATCCCAATGGGGAGAAAACAAAAACTTCTTACTTTAGTGTACTTTCAAAGTATGCCAAAGTTATCTTCTAGAATTTTTTTCAGCTATGTCAAGTCTAGTATCAATATGTGTGTCGCGGATATATTAATTTATGTTCATCTTACATAACTTTGTCTGACAATAAAGTGCAAATACTTCATCGTACTTCAGAACGTGAATATTAGTGAAGTGCGATGAAGTGTTTGAGCTTTGTTGTCACACAGACTGACATAAAATGAGTTGAAACTAATTTGGTGGTAACACATGTTGATTCTAGACTAGACATAACTAAGAAGTTCTAAAGAATACCTTGGGAGTATGGAACTTTCCCTTTCTCCACCTCCGTCATCCTCATGGATCTTTCGAACCAATTGAGGATAGTTTTTGCTGAGTTTTCAATCTGAAGTTTTGCTCATAGATAGCTCGAATGATTCGTAGAATATTTCTAAAAGTTTAAGAAAAAAGAATGTTCTTTTGTTGAGATATCGAGCTTCCCAAAAATAATCGCTTGTTACAGATCTAATACGAATCTCAAGTTTACATAGAAATTCTGTTTTTTGGTCTTTCAGGTAAATACCTAAAGTTGAGTCAAAAATTCAGTAAAACGATCATAACTCGGCTCTGAAAGTCCTTTTTAGACTTTTGTTAGCCTCATTGAAGCACTCTTGTAGATCCAATATGTGCTCAAGCAGCGAGTATCAATCTGAGAGGTTTCTTCGTTAGTTTAATGTTTCATATTTTTCTTTAGCTTTTACCAAATCTTAAATATAGTAGAAAAATCAAATTATTATTTGTATGCAATGGTGATGTTAATATTAAAAGTCAAGACTGGAATGTTTCGAAATATATTGAACGCCGTCGGGCTCTTGCAAATCATTAACATAATTGATATTATGATTGTCTTTTGTCAGATTATTTCTATTTTGTGTGTATGCGTTACGAACAAAGATACGGCTAAAAATTGTTATTCGAAAATCTTCCGATCGTTTATTCTTTTGTAAATATAGATGAATACTTTGCTTATTTTCTTTTTTTCCTTTATCTCTTATTGTTCATGTATTATTAGTTCTTTGATAAGAAGACATTTAAATAAAATCAAGAGTTGTTTGTTCAAGATTTTTACAAGCATTTCATTATGAACATTTTTATAATGTTTTCTTGTTTAATAACAAAATTGATGACAATTAATAATAAATTATATGAGATGAAAGATGATGAAATTCGGAAGTAAATTTCTTCAGAATGGTGAATAGTATTGGATAATGATATAGGAGAAGTATATGTAAAATAGTAAGTGATAAAGATTAGGTCAATGCATTAATAGATTTTCATTGGTTTACTCAAAAGAGATAATACAAACCAAAAATCATTATTATCTTTAATATGATTTAAAATATTGTTCAGTATCTTGTATCATGAAGAATAACCAGCTCGAGAGTTTTGAAAAAAGAACATATTGAATGATAGTACACTGTTAATTCTGGATGCAATATCAATATTTGCTTAAAAATTATCAATTGAAAGAAATGATATAAGTACTACTATACAAATGATTAGACGTGAATTCATCAAGATGTATAAGAGTGCATCGTAACTAGTTTACACTTACCTAATGGATTTAATACGATGCATTTGCTAAGTATTCAGACTCATTCAGAAATTAAATCAATTCAAAATCTTCTAATGTAGCCATGAGCTAATTGATTGCATCTTTGATGCCATTGAGACTAAAGTATTTTTTTACGCCAGGAAAGAAACTAAGACGATTGATTTTTTTAAAAACATCTTATTGGAGCATCTGAATAGATGAATATTAATGATTAACTGACTGAAAATATATTAGTAAGATGTTTCAAATTTACAAACCTGTATTCAAAAATAAATTTAAGCTTTATCTTTACAAAAAAACTTACGAAGAAAGTATTCAACTGATGCATTGCTTTTGAGTCAAAACTATGTGTGTACCATAGAGATTCTAATCAGCTATGAATATGCTGAAAATAGTTTGAATCCTTAGCTTGTTGTTGCTGCTGAGATAGTGCATTTTTGTGATATTTTTTCACTCAATGCCGTGATTCTGTTAGGGACTCCAGAAAAACTGATTTTTAAGTTTCGACTTGAAACTTTGCATAGAGACAAGTTTTCACGAGAATAGTTTTTGTGAATGTTTCGCGTCTTGTCTTTGTTCCTAACTTCAAATACACCTCTATAATAAAAGTATATCTTTTAAATCGCTCATATATACCAGCGGATTTGATGCTTGTATATGTGAATACAAGCAAACCAAAAGACCTGAAATTTTCACAATAAACTAATCTCCGTAAAGCCTATGTCTTTGCAAAGTTTTAAGTCAAAATTCCAAAATCAGTTCATCTGATGTTTCTGATAGGGAATAAAGCATTAATTTTAAAAAGAATACCATAAAAGTATTCGATCCTTACAGCAATGAGCTAAGAGTACGAATTCTTTTCAGGATATTCATAGCTCATCAGAATCTACATGATGCACATAGTACTAACTAAAAATTGACTAATTAATTGGAGAACTGTTCTCATTAGTACTCAAACAGATTAGTCTTAATCATGTCTAATCTCATCACTTTATTAATTATTGTAACCAATATTATGATATTTTCAATAAAAAGAAACATTTATCATATCTCTTGAAACAAATTGATTGAGAAGAGACGAACATAATTAGTAGTTCACATATATTTTTTTGGAATACTTCTAGTTTATGGTATCCTATCTGGTAATTCACTACCATGGGTTTATTCGAAATCCATGAATAATCTATCTTTCATATGATTCAATTGTTAAAACCAGAATTCTGATTTATCAAATACTATTATTACAAAATCAATAGCGAACAAAATACTGTATTTATTAAAGGAATTTCGAGATTAGATACATGGATCGATAAAAAGGTAAAACCACAATATTATTCACCAACAAAAAAAACATATTTATGTTTTTTTATTAAACATGATATAACTATACAATTGATTATTTAATTGATATTGAAATTTAAGAGCTGAAAGACGTTTAAAACCATCATTGAATACATTAAAAAAATAACGACGAATAGTTAAACGACAAAGTGCTTTCAATGAACGAGATTCACCTAAAAACAAAATATTCTAATCAATTATAAATAATAATAATCGTGTGACTTACAAATCCATTTTGTAAATATCGATGGATCAAGATCAGCAATACAAATAGGATCACAACTAAATTGTAAACGTGGTTGATGTAGAATAATACCATCAGGTTCAATACGTATTGCGTGTAATTTAAATTGAGATTCAATATTACCTCCTAAATAATATCATCATTTACATTTAGGGCTTTATTCTATGGTCATTATATTACCATGATCATACATTAATTGTATAAAATGTTGTCGTCCTTTTGTACCTGTAGTAAATAATTGTGTACCAAATGAACGAAATATATTTCGATCAAGGTTTAATATTGGTTTAGCACCAAGTTCTAATAAAACTTTGAATACATCAAAATATCCTCGAGTAAATGATTCAGCAAGTGGTGTAAGATGAAACATTGATTTAAGTCCATTTAAAGAAGCACCATATTGGTGAAGTAACTATGTACGTACATTTAAAAAAATTATGATATTCAACTCTAAAGTATAGAAAAATAAAAATACTTCAATCATTTCAGGATCATCATTGAGTACAGCAATATCCATAGGTCGAGAAGCATATATATCTTTTTCAGGAACATTTGGATTAGCACCTGAAAATAAATAATATATATGTTCAACGTATACAGAGTGGTTTAAAAGTCACTCGGTAGTCTTTGATTGTGAATAACTTTTGATAGAAACAAGATGAAAGGTTGCAGTTTTCATTGTTTGAAAGAGGCTATGTCACTGCATGGTTCGATTTATCCTTCAAAAATATCGCTTGACAACTAAATTGTCAGTGAAGAAGCTTCAGAAAAATACTAACAGCTCTATGAAGATGATGCAGAAGTTAAATTATAAGAAAGACGCTAGATCTTCGTACGTACGATACATCCCTATGTCTAAACCTGAAATGTTTACCATGATTCGTTTGAGAGTTTTAGGTACAACACTAGAGGGTGAAGATGTGGATGTGCATCGTGAGTAGGGAACTGCAAAATCACTTTTTTTAGTCCCGGTCCCGGTCTTTGACAATAGTTTCATTTCTAAAATCAAGCAACCTTTTTTTACGATCTGTGTACTTTTATGAATACATAAAATTGACATGAATGATTTTGATTCGTTAATAGTACGAAAATTCTTTTATATCCAGTGCTAAAGTGAAAGAATTTCACTGAAAGCTAGAATAAAAAAAATAACCATTGAATTTTGTTAAAAATTCTCATATACTTCGTAGCAGTCATTTACTTATTTCTCTCTTCTTTTATATCTACTGCTCTACCTAATGGATTTATTATCGAATTGATTATTTATACTGAGTAGTCATTACGATTGTCAAAAAA